TCTCCGACTCAGAACCTACAAGTTCAAAGTAAAATGTTAACTAATAAACAGTGTCATAAAGCCACAGTTTTACCATAACTAATAAACAGTGTCATGAAGCCACAGTTTTACCATTGTTGTAATAACACAGTGAAGCTTGTTATAACCTACAAGTTCAAAGTAAAATGTTGACTAATAAACAGTGTCATGAAGCCACAGTTTTACCATTGTTGTAACAATACCGTGAGGCTTAATATAACCTACATATTACTTAATATTTTTATTGCCAACACCTTGAAACTTTATCAAATTGCATAACACACATTTTCGAGACAGTTTATTTCTGTTTTGTTTTCTTAGGTGAGTATAAATGAAAATATGCCATTTAAGGTTGATAAACGTAGAAATATAATTTTCCTCTTAAAACGTAATATTCTTTAAATTTCATTTTTGTACTTGTTTTTATTCATACTCTTCAATGGATAAACTATTTTCTCAATTTGGTTGTCAAATTAGCTCACCTTTTAAGGTTGATTTTGGTGATAGTTTGCACCCAATTTTTTACATTGTTCATATCATCAGCTCATCTTTGCAACTTTGATTTAAATGTAAAAATTTACATTCAGTTTTTATATTATTAGTTTCAGAAGTTTGTGTTTGTATGTTTGACCTCAGTGATGATTTACACCCAGTTTTCATAGTGTTAATCTTACCTTAGTATCCATAAGTTTGTCTTCAGTTGTAATTTACACCCAGTTTTGATAATCTTAGTCTCATCAACTTGTCTTTGTAAGTTTGACTTTAGTAGTAATTTCCTTAGAATTTGGCTGGAATTTTTGATGAGATTTAGAGATTTAAAGAGTTAGATAGGAGAATTAGTTTTTCCAGGAATAGATAAATGGTAAAGTGTTGATTTTCTTGATGAGGTTTAAAGAAGGAGATAGGAGAATTAGTTTTTCCAGGAACAGATAAATAGTAAAATGTTGATTTTCTTGCAGGAATTAGCAATCATGCAGTTCTTGGCTATTCATCTTGACAAAAAAGATTTTTTTGGAAAGTCTGATCCATTTCTGTGTTTTTACAGGTGTAATGAAGATAACAGGTAGTTTAAACAAAAATTTTTTTTGATATAATTTCTCTGTAATGTAGGATGTTTCGGATCTGTTTTATACTTTTTTATCCAGCTAATGCAAAATTAAAATGTATATTTATGTATCGTGTTTGATGTATATTACATACTTTATGTATTAAACAGTGTCTTTACAATTTTTTTTTCTACATTATCACCTATAATGTGAAGACCAAACAAAGTATTTTAGATTACATTATTTAATTCTGAATAAATTAATATTTTAACTGTTATGCAGGATGTATAATAAACATATCTTGTTGTAGATATAGTTAGTAAATAGAATTGTATTGGTACGATGAACTATATTTTTTGTATATATGTGTGTATGTATATAATTTATATATATGTATATTTATTTACAGTTACTCAGTTGTTCATAAAACAGAGGTTATCAAGTGCACACTAAACCCTACATGGAAACCCTTCACCATACCTGTTAGAAGGTTGTGTAATGGTGATTATGATAGATCTATTAAAGTAGAATGCTATGATTGGGACAGTGATGGAAGGTGAGTGTCTTAACTCTCTCAGTATGGGCTTGGTCAATTTGACCAACCACGTGACCTCCTTGTACTTGTTTAAAGTCTTTATAGATTTAATACTACTATCTTTAATATAGTGTGTGTATCACAAAATTTGGCAAAACATTATAAGTCCTGCACATACAAAAAAAATCTTATTTTTAGTGATAACACTTGGAGATGGCTTGAATGGGTAATGAAGAAAAACTTATATTAAAGTTTTCCTCATTCCGCATTTAAGCCATCTCCGAGCATTATTAGTCTCAAAATGGGTTCCTCATCATTGAATTATTTTTAGTGAAGTATTTTTTGTAAACTAAAAAAAGATTTGTCCATGAACATTTGGAGTATTTCTTTTGAATTATCTGTATGCAAAGTGATTTTCATGTTAAGATTGAAAATACTTTTCTTCATCTAAAAAATCTCAAATTTCATTTGTGTAATCTCTAAAACCTCCTATATACATTTCAAATGTTTGTTTTCAGTAAAACTTTGTATTTTATCTGTTATTTTCTCTATCCTAACTCTATACAAGGTTGGTCAATTTGATCAACCTCGTAACCATGAAGAAGTCTTGATAGAAATGAATAAAAATTCTATAACTTGAGTGCTTTCGAAAGGTGGACCTTTGTTCTTTAGTTTGCCCCTGAAGAAGAAAGGTACATCTTTCAAACATGCTCAGGTTATAGGGTTTTTATTCATAACTACTACTCGTGCCATTGTAAGTTGTAAATCACTTGGGGGATGTGTAGTTCAAGTTACGCCATCAAATTATGTTACCCAAGAGCTGCTTGTGCATGCCTCGTGAAATATTTCTGAAATGTGTCTGCTCTCCAAATTATCCTTTTAAAATTTTATTTTTATCCTTAAATGATTTTGTATGTAACCAGTTGATTAGAAACACATATAGATACTGACAAGCCAAAATATTAACTTGGAACCTCCAGTCTTCTTGTTTTATTAAAATAAATGTGTGACATGCCCTTCCCATATCATTCTCTCTGACATTGCTATTGGATTTTTTATAACCAATAGAAAGAGCAACTTTTTTTTTACAACATTTCTTATGTGGTTATTTAATCTTGAGACCCATTAGTAGATATTTATTCTCAGTTTTATTATTTGTAATTGTGGTGTTCTCCTTTAAGCAGCTAACCTATTTATAGCTTAGTTAGAAAGCTAATTGATTCATAGTTGTTTTGGTACATTCTATTCTAGTGCTTGATATATTTTTTGTCTTGTAAAATTCATATTTGGAAGGATCTTTAATTATTTTGTGGAGAACCAACATAATACGAAAAACTAGTACTAAGGGAGTACTCTCAAGTATAAATTACTAAAATAAGCTTCAACTCTAATGTGATTCCAAAATTTCTTGTTTTTCATGTATATTTTTTACTTATCTTTATATATCTTTGGAAAAAAAAGTAACTGAAATTTAAGGAATTAGAAACTTATTAAGTCAGGTAACAAATGGTAAATGGAACACAATATTGAATAAAACAATTTTACGAGACCAGCTCATGTGATTTTAACTTGGCTGCTTGGTTACTTTAAGTTCTCCTGTTTGGATTAATTGCTTGTAACCTACTCAAATAGTGTCTAAATGTCATTGTATAATAATAATAATATAAAACAAAGGTAAAAAGCTTAGAAAGCTGATGCTGTTAGAATACATAATTGTAATCATCTGTTAAAATCTGCAGTCATTCTAGTAAAGAAAAAGATATTATTAATTTTATTTTATATTTTTCAATTTTTTCTCCTCTGTACAATACAGTTTGTATCAGGATAGACAAAATAAGGGATAAACGTAAAATTTTATTGAAAAAAAACAAATTTTGATATTCATGTAGGAGGTTCTAGAGGATATGCAAATGAAATATGAAAACTGTAAGGTAAAAATAAATGTTTTTATTCTTATCATGAAAGTTACCTTTCATTCAGCCTGGTTCAGTAAAGGCTTCATGAATTCACAGAAAAACCTTTAGTAGAGATATTTTATGAAACAAGAGGGAATCCTCAGTAGCCATGGCACTTAAAATTATTTTAGGCATGATTAGAGTAATCTATGTGACCTTTTTTTCCCCCTATATATTAGCTATATTTTTATGGGCCAGCAATACCATGCGTAGGGGTGCATGTAAACCCAATTCAATTTTATTACTCATCAGGATCATTACCAGCCTACCCTCAAATTGAAATTCTTTTAGGCAGGATTAGAGTACATTAATCTATGAGACCTTTGGTGTGGTCAAATAAACCAGTTGAAAGGGTCCAAAACTGTAATTAGATCTCAAATTGGTCAAGAGATGATGGAGCTATGAGCTAAGAGTTTGTACTTGAAAAAAAACAAAAATACTCAGAGCAGCTATTTGAGCTGTAGCTAAAAGTCTTATTTTTTTGGATACAACAGATGTATTATATTTATTTACTAAAAGCTTTTCAAATTTAATAAAGGTATATTTAGTAAATTCAGAATTATTGAGACATTACTCTACATAGCTTCACAAAAATGGGGCTGATCCAGTAGGGCAACATCATTGATATAGGGTTATCCCTCTGTGCATATGGCTGGTCCATTGGACCAAACCCATATTGTAGAATTAATGTTTATTATAATTCTAAATTCACTCATTCTATCTTCACAAAATTTAGTAAACATTAGAATTTATGTAGTACATAAAAAAATCAGAATTTTCAATAAAGTATATCTACTAAAGATTTGTCTGTGAATTTACTGAATCAGCCTATTTCAGAATCTGACTACTCTGAGTGTAAGGTGATTTTCATGTTAAGAATAGAAATACATTTCTTAATCTTAAAGTTTACATATTTCATTTGTATGACCTCTAGAATCTCCTAAATGAATATCAAAAGTTTTTCAGTATAACTTTCTATTTTCTTTCTTATTTTCTCTACCTTAACACTAACTGTATATGAGATTAGTCAATTTGACAGAACCTGTAACCACCACATTAAAAGCAACAACAAAATATAATATATCTAAGTCAGTTTTTTTTCTTTTCTACAATAACTGCATGTTATAACACACAATTACAGTTATTTGTCCTAAAATTTTCTGTCCACTAATCTTTCCCAGTTGCTTTAATTTAATTTTGTTTTATAGCTGTGTCTAATGACTGAAGTAGCATAATAAAGCAATAAACCACCTAACAAAAACTTAATGCAAGTTATAATAAACTTATTGAATTACATCATGCATGAGCAGCTCATATGCTTTCCTCATGGAGAAATTTTTATTTAATTTTTCTTATCTGATCTAATATGTTTCTAATATTTACATTGTAATTTCTTTCATAACAAAAATAAAAGTATACATAAAAAACAAGAAATTTAATACTTACATGTTGGTCTTATGCTTTTTTTTCTTTTAAAGTCTTATTTATTTCAAACATACAACTTACAATGCAAAATACATACAAATAATACAGTGTCCTGTAAATATTATCATTTAATTGGCTTTCTAATTAAGCCATAAGCAGGTTTAAATAATTGGTTAGGTTGATTGAGGTGACTTGGTGATAACAAAGAATGAAATTGTAGGGTGAATATTTCATAAGATGTTGTTAGAATGAACTAGTCTTATAAAGAATTCAGTAAACTAGAATCATATATTTTTACTGATTATAAATAATAAAATAGCAAATGCCAGAGAGAATTATTGATATTTTTTGAAAGATAGGATGTGATAGAAAGGTGGGAATGTGGGTTTAACTTTCTTTTTATATCTCAGTAAAGTAAAAATATTAATTTAGAATATATTTTAGCAATACCTACACTATAAATATTGTGTTAAGCTAAGGAGCTCAAATAGGGGTAGAAAAATATCTAAAATGGGCAGTTTGGAGGGAAGAAGTGTCATTTGGTACAGAGAAGTGGAGATTGAGAATTTATTTAAACATTTCCCCGATTAATCTTTAGGTAGTATATAACCTATGTTTTTATGACAAGTTTATTGATGTACATTGATGACAAAGTAGTGTAATTAAGTTTGAATGTTGCTCTTTAAAAGGTTGTGACACGTGCACTTTGAACTCTACCCATACACACAGGTTTAAATGATATAAAATGATGAAGATACTTCAAAGATAAATTAAATTAGAAAATTTTCTTTCCCATGAAATATCTCGGTTTGAGTTATCTTTTTTTTTCAGTCATGTATTTAGTCTAAATAAACTTTAACCATCTCTTACAGCATATTTTTCAGTCTTGTATTTAGTCTAAGTAAATGTTTACCATCTCTTACAGCATGTTTTTAAGTCTTGTATTTAGTCTAAGTAAATGTTTACCATCTCTTACAGTATGTTTTTCAGTCTAATATTTAGTCTAATTAAACTTTAACCATCTCTTACAGCATATTTTTCAGTCTTGTATTTAGTCTAAGTAAATGTTTACCATCTCTTACAGCATGTTTTTAAGTCTTGTATTTAGTCTAAGTAAATGTTTACCATCTATTACAGCATGTTTTTAAGTCTTGTATTTAGTCTAAGTAAATGTTTACCATCTCTTACAGCATGTTTTTAAGTCTTGTATTTAGTCTAAGTAAATGTTTACCATCTATTACAGTATGTTTTTAAGTCTTGTATTTAGTCTAAGTAAATGTTTACCATCTCTTACAGCATGTTTTTTAGTCTTGTATTTAGTCTAAGTAAATGTTTACCATCTATTACAGCATGTTTTTCAGTCTTGTATTTAGTCTAAGTAAATGTTTACCATCTATTACAGCATGTTTTTAAGTCTTGTATTTAGTCTAAGTAAATGTTTACCATCTCTTACAGCATGTTTTTCAGTCTTGTATTTAGTCCAAGTAAATGCTTACCATCTATTACAGCATGTTTTCAGTCTTGTATTTAGTCTAAGTAAATGTTTACCATCTTTTACAGCATGTTTTTCAGTCTTGTATTTAGTCTAAGTAAATGTTTACCATCTCTTACAGTATGTTTTTAAGTCTTGTATTTAGTCTAAGTAAATGTTTACCATCTCTTACAGCATGTTTTTCAGTCTTGTATTTAGTCTAAGCAAACTTTTACCATCTCAAACAGCATATTTTTCAGTCTTGTATTTAGTCTAAGTAAATGTTTACCATCTCTTACAGCATGTTTTTAAGTCTTGTATTTAGTCTAAGCAAACTTTTACCATCTCTCACAGCATGTTTTTCAGTCTAATATTTAGTCTAATTAAACTTTAACCATCTATTACAGCATGTTTTTCAATTCTATGTTAAGGGATGTATGTTTCATGTTTCTAGACATGAAGTTAAAAAAATTCCGATATATCTAATCTGTTGAGTCAGTTGATATGTGTCCCATGTTTCTAGATATTTAGCTAAAAGATACTCTGCCATTGTTAATCTAGTGAGGTAGTAAATATGTGTCTCGTGTTTCTAGGTCTATATGTGAAAGAAGTTCTGGCATTAATAATCTACTAAATCAATTGATGTGTTTCTCATTTTTCTATGCATATAATTAAAATTATGTGAAAACTTCTACCAGAAGAGGTGCTAAGAATCTCCAATTACAATTAATAATAAGTAGCTTTACTTATGAGTAACAAGCAAACTACAAAATGCTTCTGCAGTCACACTGGCTTAGGTTGTCAGTTGGATATCCATGCTGTTGTCAGTTTTTTAAGCCCTTAACTCAAGAACACCTGACAAGGTTGAGTCTGTTAGCAAATTATTAAGCACGGAAGCAAAATTTTCATGAGTTAAACTTCATGTACTATGCCTATTACATTTGGCCAAGGGTGGTGCCAGCTCACTGGGGGGCCCTGAACACGAATATTTTCGAACCCCTCTTCACACAAATGAACACACATCCTAAAAACATATTAATTACAATATTTCAACAAACCAAAAATACACCAACACAACACATACTAATACAATTGTTAAAAAAGTCATTTCCACTCACCCACTAACACCACTGTGGTGGTATCTTTCTCAAATCGTGCACACACTGTGTTTACTACACTTACGTGCATGCTCTGCACATATGCCTATATAAGAAGTGTCTTGATGTTGCAGTTTTCAAATATTGTACATTATCGAATGATGTGTTTTTGGATCACTTTCATTGATATCACTTTTTTCTTCTTCAAATGAGTACATTATTAAAATATCAAAGCAAGACTGGTGAAAATAATAATAAACAAAATACCACTTAATTGGAAGCCCCTTGAGTTGCTTGGGGCCCTAAGCAATTGCTTAGTCTGCTAATTCTTAGCACCATCACCTCTGTTTAGCAAATGTAGTTATTACATAAACACATATAAATGTACATAGCATTGAATTTGAGGAAAGTAAGAGATAACATATAATTTAGTTATTACTATTTGATAACTTATTGTTACGACAGCGGAAGTCACGTGACACTGCTGGCGCATGAGTGACTGAGTTTCTCGAATTATCATGGAACTCCTTGAATTTTAAAGTAGCCTCTTTGTTAGTGTATAAGCCTGGCGAGAAGGCCAGTGACAATGTTGATGAAAAATCAAACAGTAGCTATGGTAAGTTTTGGGTAATTTACGATTCTGTTTCGAGCTAGTGTGTGTTTTGCACTCGTAGAGAGCAAAGTTATCAAGATTGTGAATCGCTGTGATTTATAGTGTGTATTATAAATGTTGTTAAGTTTAAAGTGACAAGAAACGTACTGACTGTGGAATTACTGTGTACTAAAAGTTTGTATCGAGGAAGAATAAACTGGTTTAATAAAGAAAGGACTTGTATCGCTAAAGTTCCTCGGAAATAATTTCTACTGGAAATTAACAAACAAACCGATACGTAACATTATTATAAATTACATAAACACATATAAACTTGTGTCTTATTTAGTATATGACAAGTTCTGACTATATGTACACAGAAAAAAGCACATCCTATGTGTATATTACCTCTCATGCATCTAGACATATGTTGCTTGTTTTAATTCACTAGCATATTAATGGGCTTATGAAGAGATCAAACCAGAGATTACCTGGTCTCAAGAGTGGGAAGGTAACTTAAGAAATGTTAGGATAAATTCAAACCTTTTCACACTACTGAATTAGTTGATATGTGTCTCATCTTTATAGTTAAAAGAAACTATCACATTTTTAACCCTCTCACAATGGGTAGGTCAAAGTGGGCATATCATGACCTTTTACAGAGGTACATTCAAAATTTAATTATTATCAATGTATACGAATAAACAGCAAAAAAACAAAACAATAGATACTATATCTCGTTTTTTTGTGTATATTTTTTGTTTCTTGTCACACGAGTAACTAAAATATAAAAATTTGAAACTTGTTAGGTTATATAAGACAGTGAAAAAAAATTCTTCTAGCGTACCCTCTCGATGAGCTTGTGCATTATATCACTTAACATGGTAACTTGAGCTACTTTGTTCATTGAGTGATTTATATCTTGTGTGTCAGGATTATTAGTCAGATACTGTTCAAAGGGCAATAAAACAATAAAATTCCAAAACACACTATAGCTTTATCCAGATGAGAGTTTCTCTTCTCTGCCCATCTAAGCATTGGTATGAATCTTACCTCACTTGCTCCAGCCTATATACCCCATTATATTGCCCAAAGCAAGTTAAATATTGTGATTCTCTTTACCTACTTTATAGTGCCCCCTATCCCAGCTCCCTTTTATTACTACCTATTCATTTTTTTCGATGCCAGCATGTTACAACAAGTTTTATGTGCTTGCTGTGGGTTTCTTTTCAGTCTTGAATGGCTTTAGACGATTCCTTTTTTTAGACTTGTCTTTTTTTGGGTCTTGTGTTTGTTGTCTATTTACTCCCCCCTCCCCAAAAAAAATTTCTGAGACACTTTCAGATATGAATTCACAACTTCACATCTCTGACAAGGAGTTGCCTAATGCTCCTACTCTGCCACCTCTGGAGTTTAATGTTACCTGGACATTGGGGAGCCAACCCCCTGTCTGCAGAAGATGTCCAGTCCCACATATGCAGAGAGGTGGAGTCTTACATGAGGTCTGATGTTTTTTCTCCTGTTAGCTCAGAGGCTGAGGTTGTGGGGGTTAGGGGCTGACTGATAAGAATACAGAATCTATTTTACCTGTTTCTTCCTTGCTCAGTCATCTAATTATGAGCCTAGAACCCCCTGCACCATTTTTGCGACTAGTACATTAAATTTGTGATGTCTTGAGCTTTTCTCCTGCTTCTTATGGCTCTCCTCCTCTGTTGGGGGGGGGGGGCAGTCATTTGGCTGATTACCTGGTCTTTCCACCTTTGTCAGACATAGTTGTGCATGCTAGGTTATTTGCTGATCTAATGTGAGAGGGTGGTGCCATGCTTTGTCTTCTCCATTTATCAGATCATCATGCCTTAGCTTTCTATCACTTGGAGAACCAATGTTTCGATTCTCAGAGATTAGATCCTCTTTGTGGTTCTAGGCCTGATGCCACTGTTCATGTTAACCATTTTTCCTGAATTTGTCTGTTCCTTACAACAACTTTTCTTGCAGTTTTCTTGCAACTGTTATATGAGGCCTATCACAGACATCCTGTTCAATTTTCAGAGGATCTTAAATCATATAATGACTTTTGCTTTGGTAAGGTTGTCAGCTTCTGCTCTCCTTGGTAACTTGGTTGGTTTATTGCTGATATCTTTTGGAGAGAGAGATGCCTTGCTTGAGGGAGTTGAACTTCCTTTTACAGCCCTCAGAGAAGCTTTTCTCAGACATTCAATTTTTTCAGGTATTTCAGATTCTCTTTTAACACTGGCCTTTTGCTGTTCACAATCTTCTACATGATGGGTTTCCTGCATTTCCTGTTTGTTTGTAATACCAATGAAGATGAGCAATTGGCTACCTGTCATCAAACTTCCTAAAAAGTGCATGAGACAGGTTTTTCAGTTTCATGCTCTTCCAATCGGGCCTTGCATCTACCCCCATATGTCTTTTGTGGGTAGTCAGATCATTTTCACATTATCTTCACTCTAGAGCATTCACACTCAAATTTATATCAACGACTGGCTTCTTTTTGCTCCTTCCCACCACTTCCCTTTTATCTTAAGCTGTGAGTGCTGGGTTTCTCATCACAACGGAGTAGTCTATTCTTACTCTCACACAATACCTTGTTCATTTAGGGGCGTTTTTCAATTCCCATCTCAGTCAGGCCAGTTGTTTCCCCTACACTTTCAGGCTATGGAATGGGCCATTCTTCTAATACAGTAGTGCAATTATATCTCTTTTGGGGATGTGGGCATCCTTGGAATCACTCATTCTTTTAGGCCGGGCCCACATGGTTCTCTTAAGTGGTTGTTACGGGAACAATGGAACATTTGCGTGAATGCGCTCGATTGTCTGGTAACCGTATCAGCTTCTAACCTGCTTGATCTTGGCTGGTGGTTGGACAGGGACAACACAACAGTAGGTGTCACTCTCCTGCCCCTATGCCCATAGATAAATCTTTTCACAGATGCTTCTCTCCGGGGATTGAGTGTTTTTATAGGATATACGGAATTCAAGGGCCTCTGAACAGATGAGGAATCTTCTCTCCACTTCAGTCTTTTAGAGCTTCTAGGAGTTCAACGAGCTATGTTTTGAGCTCTCCCATTGCTGCAAGAGAAAGTGGTATTGCGTCACTCGAACAGTTCTGATGTGGTCTCCCACATTTCCATGCAAGGGGGAACTCACTCCAGGTCTCTTTTGTTTTCAGACATTGGATTTTCTCATTTAGACTCACAATCATCAGATTGTTCTCCTTGCTTCTCATGTTCCATGTGAAATGAATTTCATAACCGATCAGTTATTTTGTCCCAACAGAGTTCTTCCCTCTGATTGGATGCTTCATCCACAAGTTTTTAATAGGATCTGCTCTTGTCTCGGGATGCCTCAGTTCAATACTTTTGCCACAAACTGGAATGCCTAGCTCCCATCCTTCTGGTCTCTTGTACCTCACCCTCTGGCTTTCAGCTTAGATGCACTCAGCCAGGATGACGGGTCTTCATATTTACGCATTCCCTCCGTTTCGTCTGTTATCCACAATCCTTCAACTGGTTTGCTCCTTGTCCTGTTTAGTTCTTCTGGTGGTGCCACATTGGCTGGGTCAGCTTTGGTTTCCACTCCTTTAGTATTTTCAGGAGTGTCTACCTCTTCCATTTCCTCTCTGGCCATCTCTCTTAAATCAGCCTTGGTCAGACATTTTTCATTCAACGATCGCCATGGGTTTTATGCAGTCCATTGCACGAAGTCAGGAATTGACCTCTCAGTTGGCATCTTTATTCATGTATTCTTCATTGAACATTTATCAACAAAAAATGGTTTATTTATCATCAGTTGTCTCTCAGATATGGTTTTAATCTTTTTCATCTTACTGTGCCACATGTTTCTCCATTTCTGACATGGTTCTTTGACAAAGGTTTGGCACCTTTGTCCATTTCATTGTATAACACAGCTTTGTTAGCTACATTTCGTTTTTTGAGTCCCTGTTTTGTCCTTGCTTCTGAAATCTTTTTGGGTCATCCATCTTCAACATCCTTTCCAGTTTTCTAACTGGGATGTCACAGTGTTTCTCGATGCGTTATCTCACTAGCCCTTTGATCCTTGGCATCATGTTTCTCTTAAGACTTATTTAATTTTTTTTGCATTTTGTGCTTCTTCATTCAGGTTGGGCTGAGGATTTGTCCACTTTTGTGTTGCTTGCCTTCTTTTCATAATTCCAATGGCTTCACATGCAACTTTCAGTTTGGATTCCAGTAATACCATCAGAAAACAAAACAAAATCAACAGTGGTCCTCATGCCATAGCCACTATGCCTTGGATCTAGATTTGAGTCCCCAGCCCTATAATTCCAAAGATCAGACATAGGACCTCGTCTTCCTTGTTGGTGTCTGGATGCATACATGTTCTTCTAATGATGTTGGGATTTTGCCTCTGTGGCTAGTAGGCCTTTACCACCCAGAGATTAGATTTCATGTTGTCCAGACAAAGAGCATACCTCGATTTCAATGACGAGGAAGCCACTTTGAGACTAATAATGGTTGGAGACGGCTTGAATGGGTAACGAAGAAAAACTTTAATATAAGTTTAACATAACAGCAAATGTACAATGTTTCGACAAGGTTTTGTCATCATCAGGTACTTATATTAAAGTTTTTCTTCATTACCCATTCAAGCCATCTCCAGCCATTATTAAAGAGCATACCTGTTCCAGAAGTAGTGCAGACCCCACTAGTGTTCTATTATTATATCACAATTTCGCACACCTCTTTTCTATGCCGACACTTTCTGCGTGGATCTTGCCCTCCACCTTGTCAATGTGGGATTCTAGCTATAGGAGGTGTGTTTCGCAAGTTAACATTCTCCTGTACCAAAAATGTATTTCCGACAATACTTATCTCTTCTCACACTCTCCCATCTTTCCTCACCACAAAATGGCCAGTGTCAGGCCTGCTAATTTGGACTGTCTTGAAAAGTGAATAGGAATTAATATCGGGGAGCTTATATACAGATCTGGGATGGGGCCAAATTGATTTATGTGGAAAGAATCACAAGATTTAACTTGGTTTTGGGCAGTATAGTGGGTTATAAAGGCTGGATCAAGTGAGTTAAGATTCATACCAATGCTTAGATGGACAGAGAAGAGAAACTTTCATTGAGATAAAGCTATAGAGTGAGAAGAGGTAAGTATTATTGGAAATACATTTTCAGTAGAGGAAAATGTTAACTTAAGTATATACTGATGTAGACTGTTACAAACCTTAAGCTATTCAGGATAAACAATTGTATTTTTCTGTTACAATCTTCTGTCATTCTAGAAAAAAAAGAGTAGTTTAGATTTATTTCATGTTTTTTATAGTTGGCTACAAGATTGGTCAAATTGACCAAGTCAATATAGAGTTAGGTTGAGAAAATAATAGATAAAATATGAAGTTTTACTGAAAAAAAAAACGTTTGATATTTATCTAGGAGATTTTAGTTTTGCAAATGAAATTTTAAAATTTTCAGATGAAGAAAACTAGTTTTTAATCTTACCATGAAAATCACTTTACACACATGGACAAATCTTTAATATAAATACTTAATTGAAAATCAAATTTTTTGTGTACAAAAGACTTGTAATATTTACTGAAAGCCTGCCAAATTTGTGAAGATACACAAAACATATTAAAAGTTATACTATGGAAACTCTGATGGTTACTTTGGGGTAATGAGTTCAATCACATTGACTGACTTCATATGGAAAGAAATAGTAGATTTGTCTTTCATGTTTTCAGGCATGGAACTAAATATTTTGGCACTATTAATTCACTGCTAATCATAATTAATTCCTTCTATTAATTCTGTCTAGCCCAGTGAACAACTGTGTCAAGTTCCAAAATTCCAATTATTTACTTAAATATATTTTGGAAATGATAACTTGTAATTTGTTTACATTTATTTATTGCTGTAATTCACAAAGAAAAATGAAAAAATATTTTAATTTATCTTTTTGCACAACTATTATATTTTAGAATATTTCAACCTGTCCCAAAGCATGGGTTTATATTCTCTAAGAAACTGTCATTCCATAAGAATACAATTATTCTCATGCTTTGTTTCTTGCATAATTTCACCTCTGTTTCTCCAAGTTAGTCCACCCTTTCATTTACACCTTTTTTGACCTTGCAGCATGTGATATGAAAAACTGCTAATGAATATCAGTTTTGAAAACAACTAAACACAAACTTTAAACACCATTAGATGGAACAGATTATAAATAAACTATTTATGTTAGCATAGAATGAATAGAGTGTTATGAGAAGTTATGTGATTAGATGTAGCTCCTGTAGAGAAGAACAATGTAATTAAGTGGGAAGTTTAGAAAACTTGGGAACAAACCACAGATTTGGGAATTTTTAATAGTTTTCTTAAACATTCTCTGAATTCCTGAAAATGTTTACATGTTAGATTCTGTTTCTTTGAAAGCTATGAAAATTGTCTTGTATGACAACATCTAGTTAGGTTTAAAAATATGGTAGTTTTTTAGCAAGGATGCTAATTAGTTATATCAACTAATTACTCAGTTTCTAGCAAGGATGCTAATTAGTTATATCAACTAGTAATTCAGTTTTTAGAAGGATGCTAATTAGTTATATCAACTAGTAATTCAGTTTTGAGTAAGAATGTTAATTAGTTATATAAACTA